GATTGGCTTTCACCGTGGACGAAGCGGAGTCCAGCCCGGGGTCGTCACATGTGGTTGCCGCAAGCCCGCGCCGTTCTCAGGCCCACTGGCCGCTGCTCACTCAAGCCGGCCTCCTCTCACTCTAGACCGCCGGCCGCCACTCACTCAAGCCCGCCGTGTTTGACGCTGTGTTTCGATGCACGATGCAACGCGTAAAAAGACAGTATAAGTCATTATAATCCGTAATTATGTCCCCACTGGATGCAACAAATGCCTCGTTTATAATGGGTTTTAATGTTTTTGTCTCGTCACTCCGGCCGGGACAGGGCATCACAGTAAGGGGCGTAACATTTCCGTCACACGCTTGAGGTATTCGGTAAAAATGTAATTTATACATTCAATTTATCATATTGCATACACACACATATACACACACATATACATATACATACATATATATATATATATATATATATATATATATATGTTTAAAATGCCCCTGTCCAGTCCTGAGTATTTTGACAAAGACAAAGAATCTCATGTTGTCAGCACCTAAACAAGAGCAAAAAATAACAGATAACATAACAGATTAAAAAAAAAAGATAACAGCATCAATCAAGCTTTCTCTGTGTCCACCCTCCACATTCAATCACAAAACACACAGCAGACCTTGAGCACATCAAAATAGGGCAGCAAAAGGGTCTTGAACTTGCTTTCAGTTTTGACCCCCAGGAGGGGGGTGAGGGGTAACCTAGGGGCCGGAGACGTTTCTACTAGACTGCAGCTCTGGTTTCTATTGCCCAAACTCCTGACGCCTTCCGCTGCTGCACCTGTCAGCCGTCAATAGACCCCCTGCCCGCACCTTTTCAGCATGGTGAATATATGACTATGCTGAATGCCTCCACCCAGCTAATTACTGAGACCTCAAAGGCCTGGATCTGCTGCACGCACCACTATGACACCAAACCAGCCTGCTCTGACCTATGCATCTTATATACACCCACACACACAAACGCACTTATACATGTGGGTCGCTCGTGAGGATCACGGCTGATGGAAGCACTATTGCATGGTAGGAGATTAACAGAGCTGTCAACACGCAAGCATGAATAATATAGTTATCACTCCAGACAGACAGGAAACACAGACAGCAGGTTTAAACTGCAGCTCAACACTGAAGTCCTGGCAGGACATTGCATCTAAATACACACTCTCTGCAAGAGATGATGTGCATGAAGCATCTGCAAAATATAAACCAACATTAGGGGAGACCGGGGCTAGTTGTCACATGCCTATGTCTAAGTTAATATACTATACTTAATCAAATGTCTCATTACACAAATGTGTTTTCTTTAGCAGTAATTTTCCATTAAGCACAACATAATCACACTAAGGCACTCTAAGGCAAGAGTCAACTTTTTAATAATAATTAAAGTCATGATGAAACAGAACAAATTCTTCCATATTGTGACACAGCTGAGTGCAATGGCTTACTGAAAAATAAAAATAAATGTAGGGTGGGGACTTGGTTCTATCTATCAGTTGTTTGGATTTTGAGATGTGGGTGTTGCATTCAAAAGTGAAGGCTGATGAACCAGAGCTTGCAGGGACGGGTTTAAGAGGACTAAATGATTGGTCCAGCACACGTCACAAGAAAGAAGTCTGTCATTTTCACAAGATCAAGTTTTGATCACATTTTGATTTACAATTACGAAGGCAAAAATAAAACAAAATAAAACACATTCACAGATTAATGAATCAATAAAACCTATAACATGCATTTGGAAATTAGATATGGTGAATTTTTTAAACACTTAAATAAATAACTGGGTCACATTGTCACGTTTTTGTATAAAACCTATAAATTACAATTTATGTTAGCCAAAAACAATAGATTATTATTTTTAGTATGTTACCTATATTATGTTTTTTTTTCTTCATTATTTTGTAAACAGTTTTGCGTTTCATAATTGGTTTACTGTTTACATTTTTTGGAAAACATTAGGTTTTAATCTCAGATTGTTATTAAGCAAACTTACCCCATATATTGTGATAACATGCCTCTCTACAGGGTCAAACGGTGTGAAAATTTTGAGGGGAAAAATTATATAAAATAATATATAAAATAATATGTGTGTGTGTGTGTGTGTGTGTATAGTTTTTTTCCATAATTTGCACACCTTTTGTCCTGTAGAGAGGCATGCTGTCACAATATATGGGGTAAGTTTGCATACACACACAGAGATATATATATATATATATATATTATTGTTAAAGTATGTGCTTGTCCAAAAAAATTACAAAATTACACTGAATAAAATTTACTGGAGTAATACATTTACTGGAGTAGTAATAAATAAATAAATACATAAATAAAATAAAATAGGCCCCAATCTCCTCTATGTGGAACCTAATATGTGACACTACAATCTTAGTATTACATAGCTTTGTTCATATCTAATAAAAATAAATTTTACATAAATAAAAGTGAAGTGAAATCGTGCGTAACGCACAATATGTGGCACAAAGCATAGCCAATAATCCTCATGTATGAAATCATGCATGAAGCATGATATAAAAATGTGTACGCCAGCGGGACAAAACTGTCAAAGGCACGTTCCAGATCGACGCGTGTAAGCCCAACAACAACTAAAAACACATGACCACGTACGCCTTGGCATCTGATTCGCTCTCGTCACAGTGATGCAGGAGCTCAAACATGGATGCGCCTCAATTAACACTTCATAGCGCGAATCGTTGCAGGTGCATCTTCGCATTATCTCGCTACATAAAATGGGCTCACAATAAAATGTGCTGTACACAATCATACCCATATATAACGATGTTTCCTTCAACTGTCACAACTCCAGCATTCATTGTCTGTGGTGTTTGTCTCCTCACTCTGCCCCTGCGACAGCCCACCGGCTCTGTTCCAACACAATTGTCCAACATGAATGCATATTAAGTTGAAGACAATGTAACAGAACTATATATGCCCAAACTAGAGAATGCGACATGTTATCTTACTGTGCCCCCCGTGCAAACGGACATTGCTGCGTACCGGCGTCACTGAATGCATATTAAGTTGAAGACAATGTAACAGAACTACATATGCCCAAACTATAGAATGCGACATGTTATCTGACTGTGCCCCCCGTGCAAACGGACATTGCTGCGTACCGGCGTCACTGAGAAAGTGTGTCGTCTGCGCTGAACAACATGCAGAGGATGAAAGTGATGGTTGAGAAGCGCTCACTCAGCTCAGGTCCTCAGCATCCACCTCCCAAAACTATAGAAACCTGTCTCGAAGCATCCGGTACAGAGCAGGTTCAGGGCGTCCCACACTCACCGTCCGCCCTGCGACATATTTTTTAATTTTGACCCGTTGATGTCATTTCCTGTATGAGTACCACATAGCTTACCTTGAGTCGTTTCAAAAACCACTAATTGGGCGCAAGTTTTCAGCTCGCTTGACCGCACTGGTCTATAGGGTCACGCAAGCGGTTATTACAACGAAATTCGTAAACAAATCTGTCGGGTTTACTGTTCTGAAAATTTTAAAGTGATATTCAACATCCTGCTTCGCACGTCCGCCGACTGTGGCGCATTTACTTTTATATAATCACAGAATAATTCAATCGCACACCTTTATGGAGTCAAATGCGTTTATAGGAAATGTTTTATTCAAGTGACTTTTATGAAACTTCGCTAAAGGCCTTTCTTAAATGTTCTTCTAGGAAGTTTGTTGACAAAAACATGGTGGATTTTTAATCTGTAGCCTACAAAAATCCAATATATATGTTGGTCTTTCGTTCATTCATTCATTCATTCATTCATTCATGCATTTATTTATTTATATTTGCGCTGGGCTTTAAACTTTGATGTTTTATTGCCATAGTTGTCTGCTACAAATTAAAGTAGTTGTGTAAATTAACGTCAATTACACAGAGGGCTGTTAAACATTAATGTTTGTTCAAAATAATTAGTATGCTTCCCCCATTTCATTTCAAACATTTCATTAATTAAAATGGTAAACAATAAATATTTGAATGAAAATAAAAATAATTGACTTAACTGAATGAAAACACCCATTAATTACAGGCTGTGTGTGTGTATATACAACTTTTTATTTTACTTTTTATCTTAGTATTGCTTTTTGTTCTTTAAATGTTTATACAAAGACTTATACTGTCAACTTCTACTGTACCGTTAGGTGGCAGGTGGCACGATGATTTGGTTAAACTGATGGAGGGAGTTGCAACTTCCCAATCTCCTCTATATACATTTAGTGTTGATCAATTGCCATTATATCCATAGTATTTGAACAGACTACAGTGTTTCTTTGCAAAATTATTAAGGTCATGTGTTGATCGGGCATTTTGATTTTGCTTGAGTGTTTGAAGTTGACATTGGCCTTGCCTATCTTCTTGCCTATACCTCTCCTGAGTTGCGAAAAGAAATACTAAGGATTTGCAATCCCTGACTAATGCCCCCTCCACTGCTGGATGAGTGAAAGACGGGCCTGTTTTGTTTCTTTTCTTTAAGGTGAAAGGATTCTAAGAGTTTAAAACTGGACCCCTGCAAGGCGCTCTCTTCTTGTCTTTTTACCTCTTAACCTGTAGACTCGGCAGCCGATATCTGATCAATGGGGCTGCTCTCCTTGAGCCAACATGTCATGATAGATGGTCACTGGATTGCACATACAGCCCAATATTTCAATTTCCTGCCTAGGCAGAGGCATTTCAGAGTTTGAACAGAGTTCACAGGCACAGTGTGGTTCCTGCCACTGCCCCCGACACCCGCAGTGAAGACCCCCAGACCCAAACATAGCACCGAGCACATTCCAAGGGCTCAGCAAAAGCAACCTGGCTCTCAATGGTAATGGAGTGGTCTCCTGCTACACCTAATACTGTTCAAAGAAACCTGCACTATCAGTCAAAAGTGTTGGAAATTTACTTACATATTTTTTATTATTTCTATTTCCCACAATTTGAATAGTAGTAAAGTTATCAAAACTATGAAATGGCAAATGATTTTATATCTTATTTTAATTCAAATTTTAATTCAAAGTCACCTTAATTTTTTCTACATTGTCTCTTTTTTTTTTATATTTACTTTTAAATAAATTATTTATTTATTAATATATATATATATTTCACATGCTTAAACTTGTGGGCTCCTTTTCCTTCACTATCTGGTTAAACTTTTCATTTAAAAGAAAAAAAATAAAATAAATGAAAGGAAAAAAATATTTATATTTTTCTAGCAAAGTTATTTAAAACATTTAAGCTTAAACCTTTAGATTAAAGAGTTTTTAAGATCATAAGAAAATACCTGTCATATGTGTCCAAACCTTGTTCCGAACATTGGTAGTGTATGTTTACTGTGTAAAAAAAAAAAAAAAAAA